ATAAATAATAATAAATGATAAAGAAATAATAAGAGAAATGATATAATAATAAATAAAATATATAAAAGAAATAATAAATAAAATCAATATAATAATAATATAAAGAGAAAATTGATATAAAATATAAAAATATAATAAAAATGAAAATAAAATAAAGAAATATATTAATATATAAGAAAATATATATAAATAAAAATATATGAATTTAAAGAAAATATAAATAATAAGAATATCAAACTAATAAAATATGATAAATATAAAATATACAGATAATATGATGACATATATAATATAATAATAAAAATAAATATATAATAAAATATATAAATATATAAAAATAAAATACATAAATAAATAATAATAAAATAATTAATGTATACTTACATTGAATCAAATATCATTTCTGTATCATTTATAATTCAGAACAATTTAGCATAAAATGATATAAAATATAAAGAAATATAAATGATTATAGAATGAGTATTTAATTTAATTTTTATTTTTTTATTTTTTATTTTTGTAGGAACAAAATAATAAAAACTATTATTTTATTGATTCAAAATATTTTGCACCAATAGAACACATTCTACTATCTTGTATTGGTAATAAAAAATCACAAATTGAGAAAAATGACAATATTTGTATTATCATATTAAATAATAAAGAAAATGTAAATGAAATAATCAATATAAGAAATAAATATATGAACAATGTTCCAAGATAATGACATCATTATGATATTGAACAATCAAATAATATCAAAAAATTATTGACAATATAATAAAATACCAGATATATATATATATGTACTAAATAAAAATAATTAAACTAATCTATTATTTGATATAACTATTGTTGCATATCACAATATTAATTGAATATATTGGAAGAAAAGAAATATATATAAGTAATCGAAAAATATGCTAATGAAAATAGAGAAAATAAAAGATGTCAAAATAAATGCAGTCGTAATTTCGATAAATGAGCTAATAAATACAAAAAGATATTAAATTAATTAAATAATTAAAGATCGAAATTAACATCACAAAAGAAGTCAAAAACCTTGCAATTAAGAACATGGCGGATGTCATCTAACATTGCTTCTACAACAAACATACTCTGGGGAACTACTTGACAAAGACCCAGGGGCAGGATTATTCTCCGCTGATCCAGGAACAATAGACACAAGTTCTATTAACACTTAGTTAATTGATTTTTATTAAAAATTAAAATAAACTTAAAAACAACTTCAAAAATAGTTTTTTTATTTCTTATTTCTTCTTCTCTAGCCTAGCTTTTAACTCCTCCCATCCCTTCTGGAATTGGACAGTGTCTCCATTAGATAACTTCTTTAATGAAAATACTCTTCTACTAATTTCTTCTCTTGTTATGTCATAATCTTTGTAATAACGTAATGCGTCTGATAAGATTTTATTCCCTTCTTTCAGAAACTCATCTGAGTCTTGTCTAAGTCTATCAAATCTCTTTTTTTCATCTTGTACTAGACTATCACTAACAAAAATACATGGTTTAATAATTTTTTCGGAAGTCTCAAACACAACAACACCACTAGAGGGGTTTTCGGTTTTGGGTATAAGATATACATAGTCTTCAGGCTTAGTCTTTTCTTCTTCAACAAGAGGTTTTTCCATCACACTAACGTTGTTAATGTTATACAAAAGTTCTTGGGGTTTAATTCCAATTGAATTACCTAACGAAGCATAATAACAACCTTCTTTAGGAATATTAAATATTCCAAGTAATTTCAGATCATCAAATGAGTCAGTCTTTTTAAATTCGTTATCAAATAATTTATAATCTCCAGGTTCAAGTTGTCCTATTTCAATCATGTCTTCACTTGAAGAACAATTATTTGGAAATGCAAGATATGGATTGTTTGTATCCTTTATTAAAAGAAATCTTGACGGATAAACTATTTCTTGAATTGTGATTAAGTCATTAATGTCATCACCTACTTGAAACTCTTTTTTATTGAATTTTCTTTGATAAAGAGGTGCGGACAAAGAACACCCAATAGCAAACAGAGTTGATCCGTAGTTAGTATCATTAAATGTTAAGTGTTGGTCTTCTTCTAATTTCTCAATCAAGAACTGATTTTTTATTTCAGAGTTGATATAAAAATTATCAATTTTTAAATTAGAGAGAGTAAATTCCTGAGATCCAACATTTATCTTTTCTGATTTAATCTTACTAATGCCTTCTGCTCTTTCTATTGTTTTTTTAACCATATCACAGATATCTTTACAGATAGGGTCAAGTTCCTCTTTTAAATTATTCTTATCAATTAAAATATCATCTTGTTTGAAATTAGTGAAATGAACATCACGTACTTTTGTGTTACAATAACAACTGAAAGACTCTTTTATTAATTTATAGTCTGCCTTCTCAGTTGACTTCCATTTATCAAATGGAATTAACTCATTTTCAGCTGTTAATAATTTTCTTATTACTTGGTATGTATCATTTAATCCACCTTTACATCTTCCTTTAGCCAAACAAATAGACTTTAAATTACTTAGAAGACAAACATAACACTCAGTAGAATTGAATCCAAAATCAATGAAACAAGTAGCTTTAACACTAAAAATGTCTTTTGACTCATTTCCAATTCCATTTATTAAACATTTCAAATAAGCAGTAGAAGCAACAATAGAGTTATAAGTGAATTCACACTTTATTTTTTTTTCATTTTTTATAAAAGTGCAAGCCTTTTTAATAAGAGAATATAAAGAATAGTCTGTTCCATCAGGAATAGAAATAAGAATTCCACCTATGCTGATCTTAAGTTCAGACATTTTTTTTTTAATAATATCAACTAATTCACTCATCATAAGACCCCACAAAACTTCAGGTTTTGGTAGTGGATAATTTGTTTCTTTGTCTTTTTTTTGTAAATACTCTCGAAGAGTATTTTCTGGTTGCATTAGGTTAAGACTATCTTCCTATTTAATCATTACTACTGTTGTTCATTGTTAAACTAATTTAACAAACCGCTTTAAATGCACTATCAAAAAAAGAATAACAAAATTTATTAAAAGCAGCATAGAGATAACATGTTTCAAATAAACTTTTATAAGTTGAATCGACTGAGTAATATATCTGTGCCGCATAATCAGATAGTTTAATAGAAACAATACTTGAAGTCATAAGTATGAACTGAAAATAATAAGTTCTGATGTTTATTAAATAATTAACTAATGATGTTTGTTAAAAAAAAAAATAAATAAAAATTAACTATTATAATAATATTAGTATAATAATAAAAAGAAAATAAAAAGTTAAAATCAGTTAAAACAAATAAATGAAAGGTTTTGTTTTTAAGAAAGTATCAATTTAATTATCTTCTTTACCAGCATGGTTGTTCTTTCTCTTTCTTCTTCCATTAATTTCTGGATTGGTTAATGGTGTATTATCAGCTAATTGAATGAGTGGTTCTGATTCAACTCTAACAAGGAAGGATGGAACATCAACAACTTGTTTACCTACTTTAATCATTTTTCCTCTAATAAGAACTCTAGCATGGTGAATAGATTTAGCAAATCCTTTTCTGTAAACGAGAGTTTGAAGTCTTCTTTCAAGAAGATTTTCTTCTTTAAGGGCAAGAACAAATTCCAACTTGTTTTGATCTCTTGGAAGAATACCAAGGTTGTGAAGTCTTCTGAGAAGAGCTGCACCTTCAAGAAGTCTCTTTGGGTCTCTAGCATCTTTCATTAACATAACTTTAGCAATAGTTCTCATATGTCCAAGCATATAGTGAACACGTTGAATTTCCTTTTTATTTTTCAATCCAAATTGACCAACAAGTTTAAGTTCAGCATCAAATCTTTCTCTTTCATATGGTACTTTTGGTGTTTTGTAAGTGATACTGTGGTTTCTCAAACAACGTCCCATGCTTTCAAAATGCCCTTCGAGTTCTACTCCTCCTTTTTTCCAGTTCTTGTCGAGGGTAAATTTATAGTTTTTAATAGTTTTATTATAACATTCCTTTAATTGATGTTGAGAAGAAAAAAAGAAATAAAGTATTCAATTAATGGAAAACCCTAAAATAAAATTTTTTAAATAACAACAATTTAATAAAACATTTTTAAGTGAGAAATGATTAAATTACTTTGTTAATTCAAAAAATTTATCTTCAGAATATGAAGGTGAATGTACTTGAATACTTGATTTTTTAGGGGATTGATTTCTTTTAAATAGAGGCATTTTATTTGGTTTGGTTGGTGTTGGCATTAAACTTGGTGATTCATTATTTGAAAGGGATAGTGGTGTTAATTGAGAAGAAGTTATTAAATTCGGAGGAGGTTTAACAAAATAACCATCTTTACTTCTAGATTGTCGGTGTTTTGTTTGTTCATTAACAGAGAGTTGAGGATACAGGACAATAGGATATGTTTTAAATTGTAATCCTTCAAAAGTATTTCCTTCCATAATTTTAGAGTTCACATCATTTATTGAAAATGGAATAGGTTCTATTCCAGTTAAACTATCTACTGCTTCATCTGCATGATTAAAATCAGCTACAACTATTGGTGTTAATCCATTATTATCAGAACTTTCATCATTTGCATTATATCTCATTAACATAGAACAAATATGACTTTTATTAAACCAAGCAGCATAATGTAATAAAGTCCATCCATGTTTATCTTTTGCGTTTATATCAAAATCATTTAGAATTGCAAGAAGAATGTTGGCAATATCTCCTTCATATACCATTAAAGTTAGTTTTTCAAATGTCAATTTCCTTTCAATAATTTCTTTAAGTAATAACAAATTATTTGGTAATTCTTTTTGTTTTAAAGTTTTTTTATCTTCACTAATTAAATCACTAGTAGAAGTTATACTAAATGCTTTTGTGTGACCTCTTATTGGTTTTAATGATTGTTCATTTGGTTCAATTTTACCTACACTTCTTTTTATATCAAATACAGCAAATTTACCATTAAGGTATTTCATTTTAATTAATACTTCTCTTTGAGTTTGTGATTGAATAGTTCTAAATTGAACAAAGTCTTCTTGAGTTGCTGTTCCCATTAACAAAGAATTGACTCGTTTATTTCCAAAATTAATAAATAGTTGAATTAATTCTGGTGTCCATATCTTTACATCTAATACAAGACTACGTACTTTAGAAATTTGAACACCTAATCCACGATGTACTCCACTACACCTTTGACATACTAATATTCCCATATTAATAATAGCCCAATCAGGATCTGATGAAAAACAATCGCAACAACGATCATTTCCTGGAATACTTGATAAAATACCAGTAATTCTAGATAATTCTGTTGTAGTAGAATTTACACAAGTAATTTTATACCTTCTTTCAATACCTCCTGATTTAGAAGTAGAATCATTTTGACTTAGGGCATTTTGAATTTCATTTGTAATTTTTTCCATCCATTCAGCACGTTCTTCTGGACTATTTGCTTTTAACAAAATAGTTTTCATTTTTTTTGGGTTAGCAACAACTAATTCAAATCTATTACTTTTATCATCACAAATTTCATGCCCATTTTTTGCTAACCGAACAGTACAGATAACTAAGTCATAAATCAAGAAATTATCACTTGATCGATAATGTATTAATTTACCATCTTTTAAAATAAAATAATTTGAAACCCATCCAAATTTTTTTTTAATGAACAAATGACCTTCTTTAGTTGCATTAACTAATTTTTTTGTTGTTCGATTTTTAGTAGAAATTTCTTTAGCCAGTTCATCCATATGAGATAATTTACAATTACCTAATCCTTGCATAGCAATCCAGAATTGGCTAAGATATTCAAGTAATTTTGTTTCTTGTTTTAATGAGAATTCTTCAATTTTATCATTTAATAATTGTATAATCTCCTCAATTTTTTTTCCTTTTTCTTTGTGTTGAGTTGTTTTTGATGAACGTGATGTAGTATATTCATCATATTGTCGTTTTAATGAATGAATATCTTTAAAATCATAATCAATAAAATTTTTCATTGGTTCTAAACATTGTTTCTCCATAAGGCTTACTGCATTTTGTAATTTTTCATTTAATAATCTCATTGATGCTTCAAACTCACATAACACTGCTCTAACATATGAATGTTCTTCTGTTGTATCTTTTAATTCGGCAACAGCTTTTGCACATTCATTTAAATTCATGCTTCTAATAATTCCGACTTCTTTATCTAAAGCCTTTTTTAAATTTTTAAGACTATTTCTAAATAATTTTGCTTGAGTATATTGCTCAAGGGCATTATTACTAGACCCTTCGTTTTGAAGTGTAGAAACTTGTTGAGAGGTATTAAGAATTGAAGGTGATCTTTTGAATGTAGAAGGCACTTCTGCCATCCAAACCTGAAGATATTTTTGTAGTTTTTTGTTTCAAATTTTCATTTTTGGTTAGTAACAAGTGTGTTTGTCTTAATCATTAAATAACCAACTTCTTATAAATCATAAAATAAACTAAGTGAATTAAAGACCATTTAACATAAACTCACTACTGAAAATAGTCCATTTGATGGTGCATTGTTACAAATAAATGACAGTGCTTGTGATACAAATGAAGATCTTGAAGTTAATGAAAGAACGCAATAACTTCCCTTTCGCCCATCTAAAACAAAAATGTGTGAACCAAATGGAATAATGGCAATACAGTGGTACACTTCTTGTATGTTTTCTCGTTCTTCATCTTCTTTTGTACAACATCTTTTTGATATTTGAAAATGAATTTGTTTAAATATTTGGAAACATTGTGTTATTTCTTCCTTCGTTTGTGTCTGTTGTAATGAACGAATAAAACGACCATACGTACCATCACTTTGGTATTGGACAGAAGGTGAATTAATCAAAATATGAATAATTGCCATTAATGGACAAATATTGCCAATAGTTTGGTGAATAAAAAATGGGTGATGTTCTGTTTGGTAATTATTTTCATAAAAATCTGTGTTTTGAATTGGATAGGGAAGACTAACTATAAACCCTTTAGTTCCTTTGTCTAGTTGTTCTTCTAAAGAATAGACATCTTCAAAGTGAATTCCATCAACCCCAATCTCTGAGCAATATTCTTGAAATATTTCAGCTGTTGTAGTGATTTTATTCCAACACTCTTCGACCATCTTGAAATGAGTTTTGAGATGACTTTAACATAACTGATGAAATATGAAATGATTATTGATTGGCAATTTGATTTAACTCAAAAGAAAAAAAGAGTAGGTGGAGATATCTCAAGAAGAGGAATAAAGTATCATTGTACATAGGTTATATAGAATCTGGTTAGGTCAAGGACAGAACCGATGAGGAATGAAGATACTTTAGATGGTTTTTTAACTTAACAATATGTTGATTTGTCAGGAATATACAGTAAGATATTTTTTACAATAAGACGTTATTAACTTCATAAATATTTATGTAACTCACTAATTAATAATCATCTACCAATTAAAAACAAGAATTGAATTATGTTGTCCTTTATTGTAATATTGATTTGATTTTATACTTTTCCAAATAATAAAACATCATAACAATCTTATTAAATGAGAAAAAATAATTTGGATATCATAAACAAGTGTTTTTATGTGTATTAAATTTAGTCCATAAACATCCACAGTTTTTGTGTTTTGATGAATGTCTTATAAATTGGCATACATAACCATTTATCAACTTATTACTGAAACAGCCATATTTACCAAACTTGGAATTTGTTAATTGTTGGGTGTTGTTGAAGAAAAAAATAACAGAACGATGTGATGAGAAGGTACAAAAGAAAACGTTATTGATGATAGGACTAGTTCATTCAAGTGATTAAAATACGGTTATGGTGAAAATGATATTAAATATTGTTTTATTATTATTAAGCCAGCAAAGCACAAAAAATAATAGAAAAGTGTTAGTAGAAGAAGGTATTAACTAAATAGAATGTAAGGAAATAGAGGTCTCATAAAGATTATAAAAAGAGAAAAGGCCTTTATGTTATGAAATTAACATTTTAGTACATCAGAAGTAATCATAAATTTCATATTCTATGATAGTAAATAAGAATGGCAAATGAACTTGACAAGATGTTTTTATAACTTCTACTACAAGGCGTTGACTTTTTTGGTTATTTGCTAAACAACTAATGTTCATATCGTTTAGCTTTTTTGATTTATTGAAAATCTATTAGTAAATTGATAGTAGTGAGTTAAATGTATTACTGAAAAATGAGAAATATATTTATATATTCATAGGAAATGGTAAGAGTTATCCAAATTGAATTGGTTATTAAAAAATGATTAAAATAAACATGAGCCTCTTTTATTTTATTTTCTTTAATAAGAAATAGCAAACTTCAAAGATAGAACACATGGTTTTGATTGTTTTGGATAATATATTTTGTAAATTATAACGTAAATTACAATGTTTGTTAATTTTCATTATTACTTCCATTTATCTAATAAAAAAATAGTTGGTATTATAGAAAATGAACATTTCCATTCTTTACAAGAATATGAATTTAAGAATTAACTATTAGTAAAAGTTTACACTAAGAAAGAGGTAATAATATTATGAAAAATTGTTGGTGTTAATAACAAGATAATTTTTTTTTGTCTTTGAATATATTAATCTTTTGTTAATACAAAATATACTTATTAGATTATAACTGTTTGGGTTTAAGTTACTAACATTGATTAAATCAAAACACTAAATCTGTAACAATTTTTTTTAGATTTAAATTAAGACACAAATATTCTTATGTATAATCTTTGAACTCAACTAATTGAATGAAAAATCATAGTTACAGTTCTTGAACAATAGATACTATGAGTAGTAAGTAAGAATGGTTGTTGATTGAATACTTTCTTTAACTTACTTCTTTTATGTCAAATATCTCACTAAATATTGAAATATTTCTTAAGTTGATACATGTCGAAGTTATCAACAACTATTAAATTAAATTATAATAAACGTTTTTTTCTTAGTTGTACTATTTTTATACTATGATATTTATTAGTATAATAATCAATTTCATTAATTTCAATATGACATTATTCTCATTAATATATTAATAATTGGATAAGTGTAACTAATTGTGTTGGTTTTTTTATATACAATATTGATAATAGTTAGTAGATTATAATATTTAAAAGCAAAAAATAATAAATTCCTTATTAATTATAAATCATTGTTTAACCAAAATTACTCTTAAACTTATTGATTGATATTAATTATATGTACTAATTGAAACATATCTTTATTCTTAAATTTTAGCTGAAATTTATTAAATTGATTTATTCGTCTTGTTCATATATTAACAGACATATTGCTGATACTTTAATTAATGGGAAAAATGCTTCTTTAACCTCTTCGTTATTAATTTCAAACCACTTTTTTAAAGACTGATGATACAAAAAGGAAGAGTATGTTCCATCTTCAATACCTCCATCATGTTTTATTGCTGACACTAAATGATAACTAATTAATGAGTAAATCCCTTTAATAAAAATAATAAAAAAACAAACTTAGTCTGTTGTTTTATTGAATCATTAACTACATAATCGGACATATCTAAAGTGTCTTCAAATTCAACGACAGTAATATTTTTATCTCCTTGAAAAGTGTTTCTCTCAAACCGTTTAATAACAAATGTTAAATACTTTGGTAATTTTTTTATTAAATATTTTACACTACGTTTACCAATAAGTGTCTCTGTTTTACCGTCATACTTTTTAAGTATATCTTTAAGTAACAATTGAGGAATTATCTTTTCTTTCATTTGATCTGGGTATAAGGGCATTGGAGGAAGGTCTAATGGAATGCAAATACAATGTTTGATATATTTCTTTTTACCTTCTTCTATTTGTATTTGTCCTTGAAAAGATTGAGTTAGAGGAAGTAATGCATTGATGAAAAACATATAAAACTCTATTAAATCTTCTTGTTTTTCTATACTAAAACTTTTCTTTAATCGATTAAGTTCACTCATTAATTCATATGGTGAAATTACTGATTTAATTAATGTTGGATTCCATTGTTTTCTTATTAACATACTAACTCGTTTAATTAACTCTCCACATCTTGCTTTGGATGATATTTTTTCTATTTCTTCATAACTAAGTAATAAATTTCTTATTTCTTTACAATGTCCAATACTTTGAACTAAACAATTGATAGAATCAGTTCTTCCTAAGTTATTAAATCCAATAAATCCAATAATATACTTCTTATTAAAATGATCTTTTAATTGAATTACTTTGTTTTCATCATCAAGATGAGATATATCATTTGAAGTATATACAGGATCTAATGCATTAATGATATCTTTAAATGATGGTTCAATTACTTCATTTCCATGTGGTAAATTAAAAAACTGTTTTGTATTTAAAGAAAGAAAGATATGATGATTTTCTTCTAAACTATGGACATAAGCAGGAGACCCAACATCTCTTCCTTGGTAATACTTTCCACAAATCATGCAACAGTATATTTGATTTGTCTTTAAGGTTTTACAACATACCTTTTCTTTGTCAAAATCAATAAGGTTTCTGTCAACAGTTTCTACATATGGACAGTATGCCCTTTTACTTTGACATTCATTAGAATTTTGAGTTGTTCTTTTCATTTGGTTCAATAATGGGGATTGTCTTTAACTGATAAACAATTATGATTTTTTTTTATTATTTTCTAATAATAAAAAAAGATTTTAAAAATAACTTTAAAAAACTATAATATATTAGTTTTATGGTGAGAAGAAGAGGTAATATTCCAAAGGATGAAGACTACATTAAAGAAAAGAAAGAAGTTGTTCCTATGTCTACTGGAAGGAAAGTTGCATGGTTTATCTTTGCCATTGGAATAATTCCACTTTTATTCATTGTACCTTCTCTATTAGCCATGATAGGTGATTGGGTTCAACAGCACATGCCTGTGTTTTATGGGTTGTGGATTGTTTATGGTATCATATTACTCTATCTTAAGTTTTTTGTATTAAAAAATCATAACTGGGATAGTTTTTTATCAATTCTATGTATTGCAGCTATTATTGGAATGGGAATATACAAATTCCTTCGTTTTGAAAAACATTTTCCTAATGGTATTAAACAATTAGGATTCTACATGTGGTTAGCTGTATGTATGATTCCAACAATTGCATTTTATTTAATTGATACAACAGATTATTATAAAGTACTCGAACACGAACAAAAAATGAAAGAAGAAGAAGATAGAATTGCACAGAAAAGACATGAAAAGTATGTAAAACGAAGAGAAAAGAACCCACCATTCTGGATGAAAACCAAAACCAATAAAATCATTTGTGATACCATTGTCATTGTTGTTTTCATACTAATTTGTCTTATTATTGCATATTACTTTATCATATCTTATCAACAATTTAGTTACAGAGTTAGAAGAGGTTTAGATGTTAATGACTATGAAAATTATTATGATGATGACTATTTAGGTGAAGATTTTGATCCAAAAAATTTCATTCATGATGAAGATTTTCAATAATAATTCACTATATACTCAAGATTTTATTTTTAATAATGGTTAAGATTATTTCTTGTTAATAATACAATCTGTTTTGTGAAAATATATTTTTACATAACGTTATAATTAAGAACACTACCAATTTCTTATTTTACAGAAAAAACTACTTTAAGAATAGAAAATACTTTTGTTTATTATATTTGAAAATAAATATTATTTATTTCACTCCAACTACAATTATTTGTTTTAGATGTTCGTTTTCCACAAAGGGTATTTTGATATTCCTTGTATTCAAATGAATGTTGTATACAAAATGATCTTGTATTATAATTTTGCTTAAAACACAAAGACCTCTTTCCAAAACCAATTTCAAATAATCCACTAATATGAGCCATCAACCAAAAATCCATACTGTGGCTCTTTAATATTTTTCATCATTTCTTTTAATCTTCTTTTTGGCTCTTTTGAAAATAAAAATGGGCATGGATCATTTATAAAACTGAAGGTTTATAAATTCTAGAATTAATACATTCTCGAAAAATAATTCATGTGAATAATCAATAATAATTATTGTATCTTCTTTATTTATTATTCTTTGACCAAACACTGATGTTACTTTATTCCAATCATCAATTTTAGATTCAAATATTCTATTTCTTATTCTTTTTTTTTTATTTTTTCTTTGTTTGTTACAAACAATAATTAAATTAACTTTTTAATTATAAATAGAATAATAATAAAAATAAAAATATTTTTAATTAAAATGAAAGAATAAGATGTTAAGATATGGTAATTTCATTCATTCTTTTAGTTTTCATGTTTTAATTGAATTTAATTACTTAAATTAGTAAATAATTAAATAACAACAAGACATATCATATGTAACAATTATGTTTTAAAATACTTTTTAGCTATTAATAATTCTTTCTTACTATTTGAATGAAGAATTAACAACTATAACCATAATAAGAAAGTTTCTATTCAAAATATATAATGTACGTTCATTCTATTCTATTATAGTTAATTTAGAATATAGATGATACAGATCATAATATTAATAATATTAAAATAATTCAGTGGTAATCTTGATTAACTCTTAGAAAGTATGTTATTCTTAACATATCATATTTAATAACATAATATATTTAAGAGGTATGACATTAGATAACAAAAGGAATTCATTGTTATTTAAAAATAGTACTAATCAAAAATATTCAATGATTTTATTAATATATGATTTATTCTTTATTCTTTAATATCAATACTGATAAAAAAAATTATAAATGAACACTAATTTATCCAACAATACCTTTAATTTAAATAATATCATTAAACTAATTCATTTATATTGATTATTGATTAATGTGTGTGTTCAATATTAGTCAATATGAGTGAAACTATTTATTTTTGAGTATAAAATTAGTTAAGACTTCATTATTCTAGAATATAATTTCTGTTTGATTGATATTGTTTAAGAAAATCGTTTGTTAACATTTTAACCAAATAATAACAAAATCAATAACAAATTCATAATAGAAAGGATATAGAAAGTGATGAAAAAGAGATTAGAAAGTCATTGTAAAATAGTAATAAATGATAAAACAAAAACGAAAGAAAAATAGAAAAAATCATATTTAAACAAATATCCAAAAACTGATTAATCATACAATGAAATTTCTTGTTTATGGAGGTAAAGGATGGATTGGAGGTATCATTATTAATATGTTAAAGAAAGATGGACATGAAGTATTTGTAGGTGAAGCTCGACTTGAAGAAAGAGAAAGAGTTTTGAAAGAAATTGAAAAGTTTCAACCAGATAGAATTATTAATTGTGCAGGAAAAACAGGAAGACCAAATGTTGATTGGTGTGAAGACCATAAACAAGAAACAATTAGATCTAATGTACTTGGTACAATTAATTTAGTTGATTGTGCATATCTTCATCATATTCATGTAACTAATTTTGCAACCGGATGTATTTATGAATATGATGAAAAACATCCAATGTATTCAGGAATTGGGTTTGTTGAAGAAGATGAACCAAATTTCAAAGGTAGTTTTTATTCATATACAAAAGGACTTGTAGAAAAAATCTTAGTTAATTATCCTAACTTATTAAATTTACGTTTAAGAATGCCAATTTCAGATGATTTAAATCCACGTAGTTTTATTACTAAAATTCTTCATTATGCAAAAGTTGTAAATATTCCCAATTCAATGAGTGTTTTAACTGATCTTCTTCCAACTGCTATTGATATGTCTATTAAACAAACAACTGGATTATTAAACTTTGTTAATCCAGGAGCTATTTCACATAATGAAATTCTTGATTTATACAAACAATATATTGATCCAAAATATACATATGTTAACTTTTCACTTGAAGAACAATCTAAAATATTAAAAGCAGGAAGATCAAATAATGAATTAAACACAGATAAGTTTTTACAAATGTATCCAAACATTCCTAATATCAAAGAATCTATAGTTGGAGTATTTAAAAGAATGAAAGTTAATTTAGAAAGAGAAAAGTAAAATATAATTTTCATTTTTTATTATAATTTCTGGGGTTTTTTTTTTCTCTTCAAAAAACTTTTTTTTTTTATATTAATTTACAATAATATCTCATGAAATCCATTTATGGAATTTGATGTAATAGATATCAAGTATTTCCCAAATAACATATAAAGAAAAGAATATTAATTCAAATTCAAATAAGAAATATGATATCAATTATAAATAATATAAAGAAAATGAATAATGAAATAGAGTATTTTTATATAAATGATGATTAGATGCGAAAAAAAAAAAAAAAAAAGAAGAAAAAAATGCAGTTATAAAAGATATTGTTATGGTTCAATTTTTTTGTCGAACAACAAACTTTTTCTATAAAGTTTTTTTTTTTTTTAATTTTAGAAATAAATTACTTATTCGGACATAAAAACTAATTTTTTTTTTATGTAGACTTATCTGAAAATTATTATTGGTTCACATCATCTTCATCTAATGTTAACATTTAGTGAACTAAAACGGTCACCTGAATTTGTTAATGAAAGTTCCATTGAACCAGTTCATAGAATAGTTTCAAAACAAAAAAGGTCATTTGATATAGTTATTGATGATTCCTCTAGAACAGATTTTTATCCTTTAAAAACACCAGACAGTGAAAAAAGTATTATAAATCATTCAAATTCAATTATACAACAAGAATTTAAAATTCCACACCGGGGTAAAGGTTCATCAAAAAATTCATCACTTCTCAGTCATATTAATGAATGTTCTATTTATGATTTATCTCTTGATTCAATATCATCTAGTACTAATAATTCATTAATAAAATCAAGTGGTTCAACACCATCTCCTAAAACACTTTCAATATGTAATACAGATTCATTTATTTCAACACCTAAAACAACAGGAGGAACAGAAAGTCCAATATCAGATATAAAAATTACAACTCGAACAATAAATGAAAAAGATCAATGTAAAAAGAAATTAAGAAGGTTTAGTGAAGATTTAGATGGAGAGAAAAGAATTAATATTAAAAAAATAAATTCTATTAGTCCTATATTTTCTAAAGAGAAAATTAAAGGAATTAAAAGTGCTGATGATATTAAAAGAAAAAATAGAAAGAGTAATAGAAATGTATTTGGAGATAAAAATTTAATAGTAGAAATTATTTTAGATATGATTAAACAAGAATATAAAATTGAAGAAATTAGTAAATTTTTCTTTGAAAATGATTTTTGTTTAATTCAAGATGAATCTAAATGTAATTATAATGATTTTAGAATGGTAGTTTGGGGATTTGATCAAAATATTAGAGAAATATTCAAAAAATTATGTTTTATTGTTTCACAAAAAAAGAATGGAGTTGGAATTTTAATGGAAATGTGTTTTAATCATAAACATTTATTATTACCATATTGTGAATTATTTATTAAAAATGTATTAAATCAATTAGAAATAGTATTTAATCCAAATGGTGATCCATTATATAATGAAAATGGAGAAATTGAAGAAATAACTAAAGAAAAATTTATTGAAATAGTTTTTGATCAACCAAAAGGAAAAATATATGTTGATTCATTTATTTATTCATTTCCATTATTCTTAACAAAAAAAGAATTTATTGATTTAATTATTAAACAACATAAAAGACTTAAAGATCTTATTCATTTTCATCATTTAATGGAAGAAAAAGTTAATTTACTTCAAACAGTAATTGAACAAATAGTTAGTACAATTATTAATATTATTGATCTTGATATAAAAGAAAAAAAATTATTTGAATGTTTTAATGATGAAATATATTCATTATCATTTATTAATCAAATAAAAATTCAACTCACAAAACAAAATTCAATTCAATTTCAAACAAAAGATGAATTAGTATTATCAAAAGGATTTATTATAACAGGAAATAATCCTAAAACAAAATCAAAGAAAAAATTATTTGATATAACACTTCTTGATATTAATAATTATCAAAAATTACCTCCAAAAATATTAGCAAAACAACTTATTTTATTTGATTGGAGAATGACAGAAAATATTAATGTTAATAATATTATTAAATTTGAAGAAAATGAAAATATTAATGAATGGATTCATCTTGTTAAAAGAATTACTAAAAAACTTATGAAGTTAATTACTAAAAAAAAAGAAATTAAATATATTTTAAAATTACTTGAAGAATTACTTATTCAAAATGAATTCAATTTTTTATTTACATTTATTAGAGAATTAAGAAATAAATTTAATGAATATCCTAAATTAGCTAAATTAGATAAAAAATATAAAAAACTTTATGATAAATTAAGTTCATTATTTAATTATGATAATAACTATTATGAATATAAAAGAATATTTAATGAACTTCCTCATCTTTCTTTAAAAATTCCTGTTATTGAAATTTGGAAACATGAAATGAAAATTCAATCAAGTATTACTTTATTCTTCGATAATAAATTAAATATGATTAAAATCATTGAAGTTGCAAGACTAATTCATCAAATAATCTCTCTTAAAATAATTCATTTTGATATTACTCCTATCCCAGAAATTCAATCATTTTTATTATTATAAATTAGTATATTAATTGTGTATTTTTCTTTATCTTTTATTCTTTAAAAAAAAAACAATTCAATTATCTTAAATTTTTATTCACTATTCCACTAAAACTTCTACATGTCTTTAAAGTATCAATCATAGTTTGAACTATTATAAATTATTTTCTATTTTTTTTTTAATCAATTAAATCAATAAATACAAACTTTCATTATTATGATTATAATTTTTCCATTTATCATGTAATTCTTGTATTTGTATTTTAGAAATTGAATGGTTTAATTGTTGTATTAAATTATCTCTAATTATCCATTCAATACAATACCATTTTACTATTTGTTCAATCATTTCACATTGATGATAATAATGTTGATATACTGATGAATCATTTCCAATTGGTAATTTAAGAATTCGATTCTTTGTATTATTATTAGTTGTTTCCATAGAATGATACATTTCTTCAAGACGTTCACTTAATTCATGTAATCCAATAATTTGTTCTTCTTTTTCAATAATTTCATTACTATCATTAAATCTCTGTATTCCTTCATTAATCATTTGACATAATACACTCCATCCTTTAATTTGTTTTTCAATCAAATCAATTGCTTTATTAATAATGGTTTGTTGTTCAGTGACTTTGCTCATTTCTTTTGAATTCTTTTTTTTATTAACTTTTATTAAAACTTATAATTAAAAATTATAACAAGGGTTGTTTTATTAATTCAATGCCAATCAATTTTGTTCTTTTTTAATTTACTTAAAATATTAAATTTTTTCTTTCTAGTTTATTTTCTTTTTGTTCTTTTTTCTCTTTTTGTTGTTTCTTTTCTTGTTTTTTATATTGTTTTGCTTTTTCTTTTTTAGCTTCTTTCTTCTTTAATTTCTCTAAACGTTCTTCTTGTTCTTTCTTTTCTTGTTTTTCTCGTTTCTCTTTCTTTTTAGTTTCTTCTCTTTCAGCTCGTTCTTTCTTAATTTCTTCTTGTCGTTCTATCTTCTTAATAAGGTATTTTGGAAGAATGGGTTTCTTCTCTTCTTCACGTTCTTTCTTTGTTTTTTTATGTTGTTTAACTAGGACTTTTTTTGGTTTCTCCTCTTTTATTTTTTTTGGTTGACGTGGTTTCTTTTCAATTGGTGTTATTTCATCTAAACTTCTAGTTTCTAAGACTTGTTCAGTCTCTGCTGTCCTGTTAGTTTCTTCGCTCATTCTCTCTTATTTTCAGTTGTTTTTCATTTTTCTTGTTTTTTTAAGAACTGTATTTCTCCAAAATGAAAAGCTTTATTATTGATTTGTTCATCTTCTTTAACGAGATGAAATCAAAAAACATTTAATCACAATTTCAGAAATGAAAAAAATAGATGAATTTAGCTGTTATAACAGTTACTTTATTCATAACTTTAAGTTATGGTTTAAATATTACATTTAGTCAACGAACCAATTGTGATGGTCTTGAAAATGGATTTTATTGTGTTGATTCAACAACATATTATTGGTGTTATGGACAATCCCAATTTAAGCAAGCAACTTGTCCTAATGGTTTAGAATGTAAATGTGGTAAAACAATTTACAACCCATGTATGTGGCCATTTCAAGAAGGTACACTAGATTGTGATGGAAAACCAGGAAAATATTTCAGTAATACAACACCAGAAGAACCATCAGAAAGTTCAACAATTAATCCTTCAGAAGATTCTTCTTCAATCTCACTACCACCTGATTCCTCTTCTACTCCCGTAAGTTCTAGTTCGTATAATCCAGTAAGTTCAAGTTCAACTACTCCTGAACCATCTGAATCATCTAGTCAACAACCATCTGAATCATCCAACAATTCTGGGGATGATGACTATAATCCTAATTGGCCAGATGTTGAAAACGGAGTATATTCTATGGCACCAAATACTCATCTTCCATTAGTACTAAAATTTGACAAAAATAAATGGAAAGAACAAATCAAAGAAGTTGTTTCAAATAAAAATTATAATAATGAAGCATTATATCAACCAGCAACATCAGACTATGATTGTGGTCTTCACCCACCATCAAAATATGATAATAATCCAACACAAATATGGATTGGAAGACCAACTCAATCAGTAACAATTTCATATACACCAGGAGTAGCAATCCGATTACCAGACAAATATTATGGAATGTTTTTAGGATATGCCATGGATGCCTATGGATTAAATCCAGGAATGCTTATTGGACTTGGTGCAAAAGAATCATTTAGTTTTGCAAGATATCAAGCAACTGATGATGGAAGTTATTTTATTGTTGCTAATGAAAATGAACATTATGATTGTTATTCATCATCACAAAGAGGACTTTGTCGTGATGGAAATTTAGATGGACCATTCCAAGTTGAAACAGGAGGAATGTCAACTGATGTTGCAATATTACCAAATAGATTCTGGATTGGTGAGTCAACTACACCAAAATCTGAAAGAAAGATTAAATATATGTTTGACAGTGAAGTTTTAACATATTCAGGATTTAGAGCATATCATGACTATTTCACATTAAATTATGGAAGGGCATTTGTGTTAACTTCTTTAGACTTCCATTTCAGGCATAATTTAATAATGAACATGAAAAAGGTTGGACTAAGAGATGCATTGTCCAAACGAACTAAACGAGAACAACGAGATTCTCTTGAATTTGCTACTGCTATGTACACATACAATAGAGGTGTTTTTGATACTCAACTAATCCAAATGTTAAATGGATGTAATGCTGATATGGACCCATGTACTGATTGTAAATTAGATGGATATGGTGGACATACTACTGATATTAGAATAGTTTGTAAGGCAGTTGATTCAGTTCCAAATAAAGAAGTATATGATTACAATTTGAGTAAAGAAGATGTTGAGTATTTCATTAGCACTATTCAATCAACTTATCCATTTAATAATGTCGACTGGAAAACACTTAGGAATGATGTTGATACTGCCTATGATTATCTAAAAACTCAAAGAAATAGTAATTCAATCTCTTTCAGATATGATTGGAGAACATTACTTGCAGTAATAAGAATGCATCTTCCACCAATCGAATATTTTGTTGGTGACCAAGTAAAAACATTCCAAGATTATTGGGGAAGTGTATTAAATGATGATTTGGGACCATACCAATCTGTTTCTAATTTCCCATTTAAATTCTGTTCTACATCTGGAGGAAGATCTAAATTATGTTCTTCTAAGTCACAAAAACAAGTCCATTATTCAAAATAATTCATTATTGTTTATGACATCTCTTTAATGTCTTTTGATAAGTTATAACAAATAAAAAAGTTTAAAAGAAAAAAAAAAGTTAAAGGAAAAATGGAATTAATACAAAAAAAAGAAAAGTTTTGTTTTAACTTTTAAATGATTAATATTCATCTAACATATTTTGAACTCTTGTTTGTCTTGATGTTACAAAGTCTTTAATTTTTTCATCATCAACAGCACTATCTAAATTCAAATGATTTGGAGCGTCATCAATAATCTTTACTAAAGAGCGACAAATCTCATCAAAAGTAATTCTATCTTGTGGATTTTGTTTCCAACAAGATTCAATCATTATTTTTAATAATAAGGGCATTGTTTCATCTATTCTAAGTCTTTTACCTTCTTCAACATATTGTTTAATTTCAAATAATGATTTAAATTCTTTATAAGGTTCATCTTGATAAAAAATTTCCCAAGAAGTAATAGCAAATGAATACACATCACCTGCTGGAGTATATTCATCTCTATAAGCTTCTGGAGCAAGATAAATTGGAGTACCAAGCCCTTTATCATCAGAGTTTGTATTATTTTTCTTGGTAAATCTTGAAGTACCAAAATCAGTAATTTTTACACAACAAGCAGAATCAGCAAATAAAGAATTAACTAATAGATTGTCTGGTTTAAGGTCTAAATGAAGAATATTATTTTCATGAAGAAAACTCATTCCTCTAGCAGTATCATATAACATTCTTAATTTTAAATTATATGGAAGTATAAGAAAATCTTTACTTGATTTTCTTATATATTCACCTAATGAACCTAAAACAAAGAATTGAATAACCATTGAAATTTGAGGAATATAAGTAACTGATCCCATATAATTTGCAATAAAAGGATTTCTTAATTTACTCATCATTTCACATTCTGCTATTACTTCATGTTTTAAATCATTAGTTTCTTCTTCTGTTAAATTTTCCCATCTAAATTGTTTTACTGCAACTGGAACACTTCTGTATTCACCAATAAATACTCTTCCCATAGCACCTTCAGCAATAGGATTTTCTCTTATATTTAATTCATCCATATCAATATGAGTAGAACCAGCAGCTTCAGTTTGAATAGTAATAAAATAATGATAATGTAAAATAACATTTTTAATTAATTTATTCATTTTAAATTGACAAATTTCATCCCAATATTCAAATGTTTTATTTTTTAATACTTCAGCTATTTCTTGTAATGTTGATTTTGATTTACTAAACCAAATAGAATAAGGAATTTTCATATCTTTGATTTTAGTTGTACAAAATAAAGTCATAAAACATGTTATTGTTTTAAATCCTCTTGGACGAAGTAATAATACTTGAGGTTCAAAATGAAATACAAATTTAGGATTATTTGGTGTATGAAAAATAATCATCATATGTTTATTTCCACTTTTATTTCTAATATCAATTTTTTCAAATCTAGTATCTAATACAGCAGTTAATGTATTTTCATTACCAAAATCTAAAGATAATGGTTCAATAATATATTTATTTTCTATTGTTGGTGGTTTTTTCTTTGAACCACATAAATATAAATAATAATTTGGTTGTTGTTGTAAATAAATATTAATATCAAATTTAGTTGTTCTAAGTAAAAAATAAAGAAGAATTCCACTACAACATAATAATATTATAAAAATAATAATTGAACTAATTGTTATTCCAATAATCATTGAAATTGAATTAGAATCTTCAATACAACGTAATGGATTTAATTTATCTTGAATATAACCAGGAAGACAATGACAAGTTTCATCACAATTAATTCCACCATCACATTCTTCTTTTCTTAAAAGAATTCCATTTAAATAAATATCATCAATTTTATTATTTCCACAAAGTAATGGAATACATTTTTTAAGAATTGGTGAGAATTTAAATGATGAATTTTCACATAAACAATCAATTCTACATCCTTCATCTCCTTGAATACATTCAATATTTATATCATTTTTATTATTATTTTTACAATTATCACTAACACAATAATGTCCATTTAAAGTATATCCTAATTTACATTGACAATATGAATTACATCCAGGTTCTCCATAATAACATTGTCCTTCTCCTGAACTATTAGTAAATTTTCCATTATAATAACAAAGGAAATGACAATCATCACCTCCATATTTATCATTACACTTACATTTCATATCAATTGTAGAACATTTTCCATATCCAAATTTTTCATTACAATTATTTGGACAAATAGCAGTAAATGTTGCTGAAATATCTAATTCTTGTTCATTAGAAATAAAACTAAATAATCTTTCTTCATTATTTATTTTATTTCCATTTATTCTTACTAATATTCCATCATTTGTTCCAGATTCATATAATATTCCATGACTTTGACCATTCCAAAATTGAATACATTCATTTGTTCCATTTAATGTTTTTTTAAATTCTTGCATATATCTTATTCTATTTTCTTGTTTTGTACTAATAACTATTGAAAAATCTCCTTGATACCAAATAGAAAATCTAATTACTCTCATAATAGTTCCTGGTAAACATGCTGGATAAGCTTGTCTTCCTTCAGATGACATAGGAAAAATAATTGTTTTACTTTGACCTGTAGTAATCATTTCATCTGCCATTTTTTGATCAATTGTAAAAAATGGATTACCTATTTTACCAATTTGTTCTGTAATTAATACTTCAATTGTTAATTCTGAATATTCTTCTTCATAAATATAAATAAAATATTTATTACTTTTAGAAGAATCTATACGATTAAAATGAATTGGAACTTGAAGTGAAGTACTTTCATTAGTTGAAATAAGAAATCCACGTGCATAACAATATGGATTATTTGTAGTTGGTTCACTATCTGAAATATCATAATAAATATTAACTCTTTTACCTTGTTTGTTTGTTTTATATTTTAATTGAACTTGCATATAATTAATTGAATCAGAAAATTCTAAAAGATTTAATTCAAGCCAATGTCCAATTCTATATCTATTTTGTTTTTCTTTTCTAGTAATACATGGTCCATAATCATAATATGTTTCTGAATTAAATATTAATTCTATTGGTTCATTAATATGAATATATTTTCTATTATCAGGTAACCATGTTGATTTTATTATATAATGAGATATATTAGTACAAATGTTATGTTGCATAACATATAAAGGATTATTTAAACTAAATGGTTTATATGTATTAATTAATTGACAATGATTACAAGAATAATCTTGATCATAACCTATTCCACATGATGAACATGTATAATTACTTATACAAGTTGAAGAACATCCAATATGACATTCAATCTTTTTATTATTTAATTTATTTGTATATAATAAATTGTTTATACCATTTACAATATTAATATACATAATTAAAAGAATAAATCGATACCATAAAATTGAAAAAACCATATGAATTAATATTTCTAAGTTCTTTCTTTCTGTTGTTATGAAATTTTATTTTCATATATTTCATTCTAAAATTTATTTTCTGTTCTTGTTTTTTTTTTCTTTTCTTTTCTTTTATCTCAAACCAATTTCATAAATCTTCTCTAGTTTTAAATGATTGAGCATTCGAATTCCATTTTCTTCTTTTCAAGAAATGAATTAATCGTCTATTTCTCTCATTTTGTCCCTATTGTTTTGTCTCAAATGTCATTACATTTATAGTTCTGAGAATTGAAAGTGCACTATATCTACATATTACAATCATCTAAATTAAAGTGAGTAATTAGTAACAAATTGGTATTATTTAAGTTATTTCATATAAACAAGGAGAGTGAATACCATTTGAATTTCATTCTTTTCTTTATTTTAAAAAAATGTAATTCATATTGAATAACATTAGTCTTTATAAAAGATACCACAAAAATTAAAGAGAAACATCAAAATTAATTCTTGTGAAAGTGGTAATAACCAACTTTAACCACAGCCAAAACCAGAGCCAAAAATCATAAGGATTACAGAACACTTATGAGAAATAAAACCTTTTTCATTTCATATGAATAAAACAAAAATATTTTATTAGATTTGTGAAAAAATAATTTTTGTTTTTATTTTTAAATACAATAAAAAGTTATTCAAAAATAATTTGTTATAATGACTTCGACTAACAAATTCATGAAAAGAGTCAGATTATGAAGAAGAAATGTTATTGAACAATAAACACAAACAAACAACAAAAATTGTTCTATTGGCACACTCAAATATTCATTCAATCTATAACAATGATTTGTTTGTTGATAACTATTCTTCTTTTTATCATGTTATACTTTTCTTTTCTTTATCATTTGCACTTACACCTAAATTGTATTCATATAACTTAAACATTTAATATAATAAGTTGTATATACAATTTAATAAAATGATATTTAATTAATTAAATAGTGATAATACAATAAAATAGAATATTTAAACAACTCTAGTTAAAAAAAATAATTGATTGAACAGGTGATGTGATTGGTAGTAAAGTCATACATCAAATTCATTTATCATTCATTACTTGATTAATTATGAAATGAATATTTATTTGAATTTTAATAAAAATAGAATAATCTTAAAAATATTTCAAGTTTAAATTAAAATAGATAATAATGAGTTAATTAAGTATTAATAGAACTTGTGTCTATTGTTCCTGCCTCACCGGAGACTAATCCCGTCCCTGAGTCTTCGTCTTGTAGTTCCACTACATATGTTTGGTTGTGGTAGAATCAGTGTTCCATGACGTCCATCATGTTTTTAATTACAAGGTTTTTGATTTCTTTAGTGATGTCAATTTCGATTTTTAATTCTTTAATTAATTTAATACTTTCCGCATTTATTAGCCCATTAATTGAAATTACTACTGGAATTATTTTGACATCCTTTAATTTCTCTATTTTCATTACCCTATTTTTTAATTCTTTATACATATTTCTTTTCTTCAAATAGCCTCCATTAATATTATGATCTGCCACAATAGTCATATCAATTATTAGACCAGTTTTATTCTTTTTATTTAGTACATATATATATGGTCTTTTATGATATAGTCCATCACTTTTTGGCACTATTTGTTTGTTCAATATCATATTGATGTCATTGTATTGGAACACTGTTTCATATGGGGGTTTCTTGTATTGTTTATTTCATGTGTATTTTCTTATTAACCCCTCCCATATGATAATGCCAATATTGTCATGTTTTTCCATTTGTGATTTCTTATGACCAATACAAGATAGTAGAATGTGTTCTACTGTGGCTATCTTGTCTTTACAAAGTGGGCAGTACTTCAATCTTTCATTTTTTAATATTTTTGCTTTCCTGTACCCACTAAATATTGCTCCATCTTGCATTTTAGTTAATTGAAGAAATGCATTTTTCTTTATATTGATGGACTTCAATGAATTTATTGTAGTAGTTTTATCTACAAATTTTGACTCGAACCATCTTCTAAAATGTCCAATTGTTTGATTTCCATTTTTTGATGTATTGGTTGGTCATTAATTTCTTTATTTTTAATACTACCTCTTTTTCTTTTTTATTTTCAATCCCTTCATTTATTATTTCTTCTATTTTCGTTTCTGGGATTTTTTGACTTAGTGCTTTTTTAATTCTATTCCATATTCATTTCTTGGAATACCATCTATCTATTATGTTATTTCTTATTTCACTCTTGTACAATAGTACATTACTGTTCTGATTAATTCAATAACATATTCGTCCCTTAGGCTTATTAATACTTCACCCATTTCATTTATAGGGACATATAGACGGTCTTTGGAGTTACAACAATGTATTTTGCCTTTCTTAAATATTTTCTTATCTCCAAATCCATTCTATCTAGGTCAGTTACATTCCAATTTACTACTGATGCTGAATATCTGAAGATGGGTATTACTTCAGTATTAATTCTTGTAATATATCTTCTATTACTACTTTCATCAGTATTTATTTCTTCCATTTTCTTCATCATCTTTTCTTTGATGATTTTACAATTGAAGGTATCATTAATTTCATCGGACTGCCATACACCTAAATATTTACACAATTCCTCTCCTTCAATTAATGTGATGTTTTGCATTCCATCTGGTATTTTATTAATGTTCTTTAATACCATTCCTGATTTATTTTCATTCATTTCCATCCCTATTCCACTTATTATTTCTTTAATTTCATTATGGATTGTTCCCATTTCTTCACTACTTTGTGTCATTATTCTCAAATCATCCATATATAATGTATGGTTTGATTTTGGGAACTTCTCTTCTATGATTTGAGAAATTATATTCATTTGGATGATGAAGAGTAGAGGGGATAAGGAATCACCTTGTAAAATTCATCAATTTAATACATCCTAGATATTCATTATATTTATATCATATGAATATCTTCCATCTGTTCATCACACTTTCTCCAATGTCTATGATGACACCCTCTACATTAAAATATTTAAGTGCTTCTATTACCCATTCATGATTTACTGAGTCATATGTTTTCTTAATGTCATAATATGACTCTACATATTTTGGGTATTTTTCTTCTTTTTGCTGCTTTAACATATAACTGTTAATTAATCATTCTTTAGCAGCAAGAGATTGCAGTTTACATCCCAATTGATTTTTACTAATTTTAAGTGATTCACTATTCATGTTAATTCTATTGTGAATCTTATCTTTCATATTGAGGTAAATACTTTCATAATTACATTTGTACAACTGATAGGACGAAATTAATGACATCGTTCATATCACC